TTTCATCTATAGAATAATTGGAAATGCAGGTAATAATGACGCATTGATATAATTAATAAATTACACTTCATTCAATCTATACACACATTCATTCTATACATATATATTCAAAGCTTTCAATCTATATGCTCTTTTTTCATAATTTTCTTAAAATTATAATTCACATTCTATAACTATGAAATTATTTATTTTCATTGGGAATGAATTTTTCTTGAATTTATAAAGAATTCAGTTTTTTAATTACGACAATATACCTTTCTTACTTTAATTATGACAGTAAATTTATATCATATTATTAGAAAGATGCCTTGCAGCTTGTTGATGCTATAGTTTTGAAAGTTCTAATTTAATCTATATATATATATATGGTCGTGAGTTTGAGCCTGGTAGTCTGGCTTTTGTTTATTNTATACACGTATGTCTTTGAGAACACTGATTTAGGTTTGTTTCTCAAAAAAAAGTGCAAAATCAATAATCAAATTTGACCATATAAAGCACCACAGTAGCTTTTAAAACTCACAATCTGTCTTCTCAAATTCAACTCAAATTCCAGAAAAAATTTTCTGTGTTAAGGGGCCGTTAAAATAATAAGTGAGCATTTCAAGTGGGAAGGGTTTTATGAATTTCAGATAAGTGAGTGGTCGAGACATTTGATCATTGCTTAAATATGACTTCAAAATCACCTTATTTTCAGTTTCAAAATAATTTAAAAACACTATAAGAATAAACGTGGAAAACTTTCAACTTTGAAATAAAATTTTCGGGGAAAAAAAACTTAGAAAAACTGTGCTTTAATAGGTCAGGAGTTTTGATCTCAGAGAAGGAAATTACAAGAGATTTCTAAACGAAATCATATACCATAAGATGATAAAATAAATTGAAGCATAAGTTTTGTTTCATACGTTAGTTACATCTGAATTTAGTTCTAAAATTAGACTACTTCCTCCTCAACTAAGAAAATGGGGAGATGCTGTGACTTTCTTTTGTAAGCAAAAGAAAAGGGGTTGTGACTTGCATAATTTTGTTGAAAAGGAGGGAGTCCAAAATTGCTGAAAACATGCTAACTTATTATTTGAACGGCCCCTTATGCAGAGTGCTTTGTAAGGATCATCAATTTGTCGTGTATTTTAAAACTTTATCTAAGGTTTTAAAACCATTGCCGAAAATGAGGCCGAAAGAAAGGAATACACCTTAGATGTCGCGAATAAATATCTGAGGGGGGGGGGAGGAAAGGGAATCGAAATCAAAATCTAACCAATCACTTATGCAGATGGAGGGACTAAAAACGTATAAATCTGTTTGATTGCCTGATGAAACAGGGAGGAGTTAAAAAGCGACTCAATTAGAAATCAGGTTCAAGGTCCATCAGAAAGAAAAATTGGTTTTGCTGTTTACCATCCCACTTTCACGGCATTAATTCCATAGATTTCTATCACGATTTCATTATTTATTTTTCCGAGTTTAAACATAAATTTTTGACCCCAAATGTGCAATACTTTAGACTATAAGTTTTACAAAGATTCTGAATATAGATTAAGGGTGGTGCTTACAGTAAACTCTATATACAATGAAAATACTGTGCTCAAAATTTGTTTTTTCTTTTTTTTTTTTTTTTTTGCCAAATAGCTCGGTAATTTTTACTGAAGCGCTTTGGTAAGGAATTTGGTAAAAGTTACAGTAAAATATGATTCCATAATAAGTGATAACATTTGGTAAATGCGATAAAATTTGGTATTTTGAACATGATGCCTAAGATTTGGCAGGGAAAAAAAACATTTATTTGGTAAATTTACTTTTCAGTTTTGTATTTTTGACTAAATTTATAATAATAATATAAGAATATAATAGGAACTATAATTTTGCAGACCAAAATTTCCGACACAAAATTGCAATATCAACGGAAACTTTTCGAAGTAAATAGTTTAAATGCCGTATGTTTTGGTTTTATCAAACAAAACGATGTGTTTTTATCAGAAATCTCATTATCTTGCAGTACGGAAATTTCACCAAGCTGTTTTCTATCCGTACCATACATAGTGCAAAAAAGTACTAAATATTTCATGTTTAAAATAAAACTCCGACTCTATACTTTCAAAAACACCGGTTCGACATTGAGTCATATTAAAGATACAACGAATCCTATTAAGGTGCAAATTTACACCAATTTTAATAAGGTGTTAATTTGATCCATGTTTCCAACCAAGTTAACCCATAATATTGTGTGATTTCAATTTCATATTATTATTGCAGCAAATTCAGATGATATTAAGGTTAAATAAACTCTAAAATTTCATACAATGTACAAGTTTTTAATTTTCAAATTTTTGTAATTTTCGATCTTTTTTGTATTTATGCATTATAAATCAAATTGAAAATAAGTCTCTCAATTATGCTTTTCTAATGAAAATATGCATTTCTATATTTTATGCATTTCTAACGAAAGTATCAATTTCATTGAAAGGTGTCAAATATTCGTAAGTTGGCAGCTTTATTCAAAGTGGATACCTACCCTATGGGAGAGAACGTTCAACTTAGGAAGTCAATGAAATGAAAAACTATTTCCAATCCAAACGGGAATCAATTCTTTTCTAACTTTCAACACTAGGGAGGTAGTACGTGATATAAAGTCAATTCATGAAACTGGTATCACTATATATGAAGTGATGTCGGGTGACCTGATTGATTTTATTTCAGTTCCTAAAATTTATTAAAGGTGGTGTTTGCTTAAAACGCTATATACACTGAGAAAAAAGTCTGGCAAAAATTACCAGAATATGGTAAAATTTACCATGTTTCAGGCACTTTCGGAACACAAAAGAACTCTGCAATTATCAACGAAGCGCGTTGGTAATGATTTTGGTAAAATTAACAACAAAATACGGCTTTATAATTCTTGATAACATTTGGTTAATGAGGTAATATTTGGTAATTTTATCATAATTTCTTAGAGCATGGCATAAAAACCATTTTTTTTTGTTAGATTTACTTTTCAGTTTTATAATTTTGCCTAAATGTATATTAATAAGAGCTATAATTTTTAAAAGCAGAGTTTATAGGTAACCGTTACCATATGAACGGAAAAATTACCAAATGAATTATTTAAATATCGTATATTTTAGTTTTAAAAATTACAATTATAGTTTCTCGTATCTGAAATATCATTATCATACAATACGCTAATTTATCAGAAATTGTTTAAGCGTGTACTTTATATTTATTAAGAAAATAGCTAAATATTTCATTTTTAAAATAAAACGTCGACATATATTCGAACTCTAAAAGCCATAATATCACGTAATAAAGTTTAAAAAGTAGTCAATTTATCATCATGTTATGGTTACATCAAATTTAGACGATATTATGGTTCAATAAATTCTAAAATTCCAAACAATGTATAGTTTTTCTTATTTTAAATTTGTATTTTTCAACCTTTTTTCTAAATCCAATAAGAAAATCTCTCTCAATATTTATGGATTTCTAACGAAAATATAAATTTTATTAAAAGAAGCCAAATATTCATGAGTTGGCACGTTTATTCATAGTGGATACATACCCTTTGGGAAGGAACGTTCAACTTAGAAAGTTATTGAGGTGAAAAACTATTTCCAATCCAAACGGGAATCAATTCCTTTCTAACTTTCTACACTAGGGAGGTAGTACGTGATATAAAGTCAATTCAGGAAATTGAAATCACTATATACCAACTGATGTCAATTGATGTCGGGTGACCTGACTGATTTCATTTCAGTTCGTATATATAAAAATTTATGAAAGGAAATATAGTTTGAAACGTGAGAGAAATAAGTAAACAATATTATTATTATTATTTGAGGAAATTCAACGCATCTCTTAGAGATTTTTATTTTTCATTTTTGTCTTTCAGGAAAATATTTGACTTCAAAATAATTTTCTACGTTGTTGTTGTTTTTTTTTAACTTTATTTATCGAAATAATTTCTTAATAAAAATAAATAACTTAATGGAAACTGTTTTATGAATATAATAACAAAGAAAAAGGGCTTTAAAAAGAGATAACAAACAAAAAAGGATTATTTAGAGATGAAGGAAAATAATTTATAAATTTAATGATGCTTAAAAAATGTATTAGACACTAAATAGCACAAACAGGACTGAAACTAATTTAATGCATGATTATTTTAAAGCACCGTAATTTGCGTTTTTTATACTTTTTTGGAAAAACAAAGAATTATTTTTTTGGGATAATCGTATAAAAAAACTGAAAATTAGGATTTAGAAATCGGAAAAAGCATTTATCCTAAGAAAAATCCTATTTTTTTAATCGAACTACATAAATACATATGCATAATTTATTAGATGGAAGGAAACAAAATATATTACACACGTTTTAAAAATGTTTCCATATACATTCATTACTCGAGCTTTAGAATTACGTTTCTTTAAGAAATAAAATTTATTTTTTCAAGTTTTTCACTTACGAGAATTTTTTGATAGTTTTGGAAACAAAAACTCTTAGACTTTTTAAGTATAAATTATAAAACATAAAAAACATAAAAATAATTTTGATTCAATATTTATAATGAATGCTTTTTTCAAAAAAAAGAAAAAAAAAGCACATGAAACTTTATATTTTATTATATTTATTGCAAAAATTTTTACTTTAAGAACTAATTAATTTATTCCAGATAAATTACAGAGAGCCTCAGAACCTTAAGACTTAATCGAAATTCGATTTGTATCCTTTACATCTAACTAATTGTTCTATAAATAAAGGAATGCTTAATTCATATTTCTTTAAAAATCAATTAAATCACTATTTAGACTTTGATTTTATGATTTTCCTTTAAAGAATTCATCATAAAATGTGTTTTAAAATAGATATTTATACATAATTTTATTTTTATTTCAGTTGACTATAATAGTCTTCTGAATAGTTTTTGCAATTACAATTACAAAATCTAACATAAATGTTAGTTTTATTCAACACTATTATCGTTGAATAATTTTCTTTTTTCTTTCCAGAATTTACGAAATCAAATTATGACGACAAACGTATGGGTTAATCAGGTAAGTGTCATTTAAAACTTACTAGAAGAAGTAAATAAATCATCAGATAAAATTTATCCAAAATACATTTTACTACATACAACATATTTTAAGTATACTAAACATTTTGATGTTACTATAAATTTTTCATGCATACAATTGAAGTGATTGCAATCTAATTTACTATAATCAAAATTATGAAATAAGATTTTTTTAAACTGCGATTAGAAATCTGAGTCCTGTTTTTGAATTCTGTTTCATATCCCAAACAATTTCTAACTTCTAGCAATTTCTGGTATTAAGTGGAACAAACGAATGCTATTGAGGTTTATCGATTTCATCTTTTCTAATAAAAACTTATAAAATTTACAAAAGCATTCACCGTGCAAGACGCTCTTTCAATAAATCAGTAAATACACGTTAGGAAAGAAAATTGCAATCGAATTTCTGCTATTTTTCAACTTACCATAGCTAGAAAAAAATCTCTAAAATGATGTTTTTTTAACTAGTTTCATTAAAATATATTTTCTGGAAAAAAATTTATTTCACTAACCAGAGTAAAAAAAAAGACAGATTTATTTTCTATATGAGATATCAAAAATATATTTTGAAGAAATTTGTAATCCAATAAATTAAGACTTTTTCCTCGCAAAAATAAATACTCAAGATTTTTTTTCATAGAAAGCCTTCTTTTGTTGTTACAAACGATACCTGAAATCTCACCTACTCCCCTGTGAACGCTTCACCTTTTTTGGAAAAATTGAGGTAATTGATCGGGAGAACTGTGTGTTTTTTTTACCTTGACAGGCAAGTGAGGTATATTTCCCGATATATTTTTAACTCTGAATGAATGAAACTAATCCCGAGATGGTTAGCCTAATAGTTTAAAAGTTATAAGGGTTTGTATTAACAAAAAATGTACAAATTTGTAGTTGCAATTATTTACGCATCTGATATTGCTATCTAAACACGCGTGATATTGTTTTCTATGTATTTTTTCACTCTAAATTTAATGAAACTAAGCGTAAGCCAATAAAACAAATAATTTAAAAGACGCAAAAATTGTTATGTAAAAAGTACTACCTTTAAGAACATATGTCTACAATTTACACTTCTTTCCAGAAACTACCTGATGTTGTTGTTGTAGTTAAATTTCGTCGCACTAGAGCTACACAATGGGCTATTGGCGACGGTCTGGGAAACATCTCTGAGGATGATCCGAAGACATGCCATCACAATTTTGATCCTCTGCAGAGGGGATGGCACCCCCACTTCGGTATCCCGACAACCTGCACGCGAAGTCGAGCACTTTACGGTAGATTAGTTTAACGAGGACCAATACCGCACACCCTTGGTCCCTACGCAGACTGATCCAAGTGGTCACCCACCCGCACACTGACCGCAATCAGTGATGCTTGACTTCGGTGATCTGCTGGGAACCGTGTCTTAACGACCAGTCCACTGCGAGACTGGAGAAACTACCTGAAAATGTAAGGTATATTTTCCAATGCTAATTTCTATGCTGAATTAAATAAGACTAGCTTCGAGCTGATCAGACAAACAGTTTAGAAGATATGAGCATTTTAAAAACAAGTGTAGATAATCATATTATCAAATTATATAATAAGCAATATCAAATTATGTAATTAACAATAAATAAATAAAAAAATAAACACAATATAAAAATAAATAGTTTAAATACTGTATATTTTGGTTCTATATTTTAAGAATTTTTTACGCGAAATGTCATTGCCATACAGTGGGATAATTTTACCGAAATTTTTTTTCTCCATGTAGAAACGCATCAGTATAAATCCGATGCACTACAAAATGAAGAAAATTGTGTTCGAATTGCGGCGATCACAGGTTACCCATTCGCAAAATGGTTGTTGTCTAATTTTTTTTCGAAAAAAAAAAGAAGAAAAAACTTTATAGTGTTTTCATCTTAGACATCTTTAAGTGTTAATTCTGAACTGCTCGGTACACAATTTCGCAGACATGTTAAAATGCAGCTCAGACACATTCTGTGTAAATTCTTTTTATAACTGAATAGACATTAAATCTAGATCAATATTAACATTTTCGGATTGGTACAATGGTGTTTGATGGAGATTGTAAGCTGCATCATACACCCGTTTCGGATTCACAAATTCATACATGAAATAAGATTCGAAAGCTAGGCTTTTTTTCAATTTTACATGAATGGTGAATGAATCATTTATTTTGCGAGGAGGACAGTCTACGTTCTTGTGCAAGTTATTGGGTACGTTGACAATGGATTCTTTTGTCCCTAACTGGTGATCAACACCAGTTCTCGTATTTGCATGAAAGTGGTTCGGAGAGTCACCATTCGCTCTTTGGTCGGGTTCAATTCTCTCAACCACTTTGGTACTTTTGTGAGGGGCAGACTTTATGCTTGCGTTTGCGAACAGAGTCCTTTCGATTTGCACTTTGTGTGTAACACTTAAGGTATTACCGCCTACGCTCTTTGGCTTTTTTAGCCTAGGTAAGTTTAGGCATTGGCATCGTTTTTCTCTTTGCTTCAACTCTAACTTTTGGAACCGTATCAATCAGTTTGGACTATCCTCATTTATGATATTCACCTGAATTAGTGTTGAAAACGATCCAGTTTAAACTGTAGATCAGAATTTCTGATTCTTAATTAATGCAGTAAAAACAAAAAATATTGTTCAAATGAGGAAATTTTCTTTTATTCACAACTCAAGAAGCATTTATGGGATCTCTATGGTCCCATATCTCGGAAATAAACTCGCCAACTTAATGCATAACAAAATTAAAAGTGACAAAAAAAGAATTTTAAAAAAATTTCAAACAGCTGCAGTCGCCATAGCAACGCATATGCACTGCGACTAATACTCTTGATTATTGTAGTTGAAAAGTGAGGACGGCATGAAATCCAAACACGACCTAGTTTGCCAATGGGTAACAAGTACAAAGTATAAGTTTCTTGCTTACACATATTTATGCATATGCATTGTTTTCTATACATTTTATTACGTTTAATCGAGTGAGGCCAAACACGTTATAAAGTAGCTAATATCTTCAAATGGGGTTTTTCTAATATATATAAAAAATAGCATTTTTGAATCGTACTTAGTATAAAGAAAGCCATTATAACTTAAAATTAATCCTATGACGGGGAAACTTATTTCTCTTTTTTCAGGATAAAAAATTTTATTGGAAAATCATATGTTCATGTAACCTCTATATAGCGGAGTAAAAAGTGTGATAAGTCATATCAAAAATAGTACTTTTTAAACACAAAATCACTTCCAACTTTTGAACTATTTGTTCTATTGACATGTATATAGTTCCATTGGATTTAAAATTAAAAAATAAATAACAAACAGTGCCTAACGTTTTTAGATAGCAATATCAGATGCGCAAATATGTACATGCACAAAATTGTACTTGTGCATACAACTTCAAAATTATTGGTTTGACCATCTCGAGATTTGCCTCATTCAATTTAGCGTGTTGAAAAAAAATGCATCGGAAACTATTTCTCACTTGCCTGTTTAAAACAAATTCAATTCTTCTCTTCAAATTACCCCCATATACCTAAAAAAAAAGAAGCTTATGGAGAAGAGTATGGGAGTTTTCATGTATCAGTCACAAAAACATAGCAAAGCTTTTGCCTAAAAATATCTTGGACATTAATTTTCCCGAAGAAACACCCTATTTCATACTATAATTACTGGACTCTTAGAGATTAAAGCTCATCCTTATTAAAAAGTGGCACTTAGGTGGTACTTTCATTCTCAATTAAAAATAAATATTTCATTGTATAGTAAGAGTCAGCAAATACAAAAGCTAACTTAAGCAAGAACAAGCTGAAGTTTAACAAATAGATTTAAAAAAACAGACGACATTTTTGGAACTTTTCCGGAGTTGACTAATTCTGGCCGCATTTTTTGCGAAAGATTTTAGTGAAACCGGTTAAGTTAAAAGATAAGACAAAGTTTTGTTGAGAAATGTGGAATGAAAGGAAGTATGAGCTAAAATCATCGTCTGAGGAATGTTTTGTAGTTTTTTTAAGTTATGACGTCAACATCTGGAAAATTACTTCGACGGATGGAATTGTCAGCTTTTTGTTTTGAATTAGAAACGTTGAAAAGCTGCTTGACATTTAAATAAATTTTACTTTTTTAGTATTAATCGGATCTTCATTATAACACTTAACACTGCATAAAAAATAGAACATAATAATGATATAATGATATCGATGAAAAAACTAACTTACCAATTTACATTTGCAGTAAAGACTCATTAAACTACTATAGACAAAAATTACATTGCTAAAGATTCAACTCAAAGCTCCATGTTTAACTTAGTCTTTAAAAATTAGAGCAGTACACTTAAAAAAAGAGGATTATTATTTTTTTAATTGTCAATTACTCACAATATATACGTTAAGCACTTCAAACAATAAACTTGTAAGTTCCTGTATTCAAATTATTTGATCTGTAGAAAAATATTTTTATTCTGTATGCGTTTATGTATTAAGCATTAAAAATTTTTACCAGACCCAAAATGATTAATATTTGATCTTCCTAAAATGTTTATGTCCTTTTTTATTACCTTTATAAATAGAGGACAGGAAATAAGTTTTTTACTAGTAGAAAAATAAAATATATTATTAATGATTAAAAATGCATAATTTAAAATATTACAAATCAATTAATTCCTAAAATTAATTGATATAGAATTAAAAAAATATTTTTGAATGATCATAAAATATCATTTTAAAATGTCCCTATTAATATGGTGGAAATGATACACACACGTTAAAAAATTGCCCGTTTTAATTGTTTTTTAGGCAAAGTACATATTATTTGCGAATCTTTCTTAAAAATGAAGCAAATTTATGTCACTCATATTTCTGACAGTTGTTGATGCTAAACTTTTTCAAACAACAAACTTTCTGTTATTAGAGACCATCTTTTACTGAAGTAACAATGACCAAGAAAACATTTTCAGAAATCCTCACGCAAACTCAT